TTTTTTTTTTTTTTTGTTTTTATTTACGGTATATTCTTATTTTGATTTTTTGATCTCTTTTGTGTTTAGAACAATATATACTAATTTTTAAAGTATCAAATTGAATTTTTGTTCAATAAAGATCTTTCAAATGCGACTGTAGCTTTTTTCCCCAAAAACTTTGTCTTCAAAATAAGGGTGCGTCTTATATTCCGAAAAATACGGTAATTCATAAAGTGATATCTAGGTTCTATAGAAACATAGAAACCACATATATAATGCTCACAACTTAGTGAAATGTCATAAATTGGATTAACGCACTCAATGAAATGCCTTAATTTTGTTAGGAATTAGAATTTAATTTTATATCTCTTATATAACGCAATTAAAAATCGTAAATACACTTGTTTCCTATATCCTGTGTTCCACGTTTTATTCTACTGTTATACAAAAAAATGAAAGTGTCTTCATTTTGGACAATGAGTTGGTTTGAGAAGTAATTATTTAACCAATCAGAACACAGTTCTCAACAGTAACTCGTTAAAAACCTACTCTGGTTGACTTTACATAATTACAAATGTATTGGATTTCGAATTATGATAAAATATAAAGCAGATAAATAGTCAATATAATTTTTCTTAACAACATTAATGATGTGTTACTACTAGAGTAAACAAGAGGGAATCCTCAATGGCCGTGACACCTGAAATTCTGTTAGGCAGGATTAGTGTAAATTAATCTGAGAGACCTTTTTTCCCCCTTTTTATTGGCTATATTTTTGTGCGCCAGTAGTACCAAGCGTGGGGCGCGCGTATACCCGATTCCATTTTATTACTCATCAGAATATCTATCACCTTACCCTTAAATTGAAATTATTTTAGGCAGGATTTGAATAAATTAATTTACGAGACCTTGGGCGTGATCAAATATATCAATCGAAATGGTTTGACCTCCTGAGTCCAAAACTGTCAAGAGATGAAGGAGGTACGAGCTAAAAATGTGTACTTGAAAGAAAAAAAGAAAAAAAACATTCTAAGAGCCGCTTTGCCGCGGCTAAAAAGTATAAATAATAATAAAAAATGATCCTTATTATGTTTAATTCTAAAAATTTAATTTATGAATTTCAATATTTACATAACTTAAGGTGTTTAACACTAAACATCCGTAGCACTAATGGGAATTCGAAATATTCTAACTTACCAGCAAGGAAGAGTTTACATTATATGTTCGAGTTTCACTTAAATTATAAATTATATTATTAAATGTAATACCTCCAACTTCATTACTGGAAACTAACTTCCAAAAGATAAATAATAATAGTATAAATTGGCGATTCAGCAGAATTATTCGACATCCTCTAATCGCAATCATTTCAAATAAATAAAAATGTCATTCCTTGTCGAGCTGAAATGCAAATGAACATGAATAATCACAGTCACAAAACAATATAATTCAAGACAAAAAAAATAAAGCAAAAAATGAAATCAAAATATAAAGAAAAAACGATCGATCTCCAAGCATGGTTAAATACTGGCGAAAACCCAGGGTTTTAGGGTAGGCCTGGCTCGGTAGTAAATCGAAGAAGTTCCTTTAATTATCTGTTTACATTTCATTGAAGAAGTTTCCAATTTTGTACTACAGCAAAGGTTGGTGTGTTAAGTTTTTGAATTCAACAATCATGAACCCAAATGCCCAGAAGTTAGATAGTAGAAGAAATCATACATTGGCCTAACAATGACTGAAACATAATTTTGAACGAATTATAAGATGAAACTTAAAGGATGAAGCGAATGAACTAAACGTCTGCGAAAGAAATGACCACTAGGCACCGCTAGACACCCGTACCTGGAGATCGGCGACAGAGGAATGTACCTGAAGCGGTTAGCTGGATGGTGGATAGGTCCAGGAAACGGACGCTGTGGTGACAGGTAGGCAGCCAGAGGCGCTAGCGCCTTTGCATTGTTGCTTGGATTGTTTGCAAACTTCACTGTGATTGGTTCACTGCTGCCATCTGGAATAGTGTTGTGCAGGTGTTTTATAGCTCGCTCAGCTTCTATTCGTTGATCGAAACGTACAAATCCGACACCTTTAGACAATCCTGCAAAATTAGCCATAAGAGATTAACTATTAGAGGATAGAAATTAGCTATTTTACCCTATTTTGGTTAGTTTTAGCACGTGTAGCATGCCAAGTTAATCTTGAAAAACATCTTGCACGTTTAACTGTAAGATTCATTATTTTTACACCTTAGTTGTTTTTTTTTTTTTTTTTTTACTTTTTGTACATTAACTTTCTACTCATTACACATACAGAGAATACGATAAATACGTACAACTGTTTTAACGTTGAATAACTTAACCTTCTCTGATACCATTTTCTTTTTACCAATTATGTTGTGTACTACACAACTGAGTATACAAAGATTAAGAATATTTTTCACGTATCCAAATCTTCACCTTTCACGTTATCACAGAGGATTCTGGAAGTGATAATGCGACCATAAGGAGCAAAGAGATTCTCCAATTCCTGCTGAGTCATTGACTTTGGTAACCCACTAACGTAGAGATTAGCGCCCTTGATGGCCTCGCTGCTTGGTCTGGCATAAGAAACCTGAAACATTAGATCACATATTCAGCACTGATCAAGAATGATCAAACATGCGAGCTATCAAATAAAAAAGGTCATGTTCCTCTAAATGATCTTCTTAGAACTTGATATTACAAAGGACATTTAGTTGGATGTAATGCATCAAGTTTTATTTATATTGCAATTTGCCCTAGGTTAGGCTTAACATTTCATAGATTGACCGAATATTAATTTTAAAGTTCGAAAAATCATAAAAGATTAGATTATAAAACTAAAAATCAAACTAAAATAAACGTTTTGTTTAAATCGTGAAAAGAAACGAAATGTAAACAAAAAAATAATGCGAATTTCTACTTATTCTGACCACAAGTTACTTTACCATCAATATAGTTAAAATGGTGACTTCAATGTAACAAAATACTTTTTTACTTTGTTTCAATAACTTTAGAAGTCTAATGTGAATTCAATTTATTGAATGAGCGAATTCAGTGGCACCATACAAGTCACTAAGTTATTTTCAAAGGAATTAAGCAAATCAAGACACAAGATAGTGTGTCGTGTGGCCAAAACAACCTGCTGTAGGATCCACCGAGTTATTAACAAGAATGATAGTTTAGCGATTTTCCACCTTCTGTGTCTTGGACTGTGGTAATCCAAACTATCACATATTGCACTCTTACTTCACATACGAAGTTTCAAGGCAATCCATTAAGAAATACCTGATATATAACATCTCCAACTTTGATTGAGTTTCTAACTTTTTTTCTCTCTTTTTCTAGCACCAAAAGTACGGAAACTTTATTTTATACAAAAACGTACTTAATTTGTATGGATATTTTTCAAATTTGGTACACTGATAGATCTTTTCAACCTACAATTAGGAGTCTCATTTGGTGTAAATACAAACCATACGGGCAAAGTCATTCAACAAAAACCGCTCACATTTGACGAAAAATTTTCCCATGTCTACGCAAAAAGGCACGTGAATTATCAGTCTAACGTTTTTACTACAACTTCACCTAAGAGTACAAGTGGTCCGTTTTAGTTTTTAGTCATTCGGATTAACACAGCTGAGTTAAAGCAGCAAAACTATGAGGTGAAAGGATGTACAGATACATATGTATTGGTTAAGTCATGCAAACTAGCTTAGCAGTTTCTAGCTCAAATTTTCAAAAGAATCATACATGTGGACGGCTATTATTGATTATTCATTGCCAATTTTTCAGCACAAATTTACTAAATTTTATGAATTTTTTTCTAATTAGAGAGTGTTTAACGTCACGTGATATTGGCTTAAGCAATTAGCATAAATAATGATGTTTGATACGGCTGTACCGTTTGCATAGGGTGATGACAAGAAACTGTTAATCTAACTTACATGGCGTTACTATAAAGGAAGCTATTACTAACAGTTTTAGAGAGGAAAACTACCACCATATATTTTAAAGAACCTGGTTGGTTCTGGAGAGTAAAAGTCCGTTCCAAATAATAGGGTTGTGATACTAAAGGTAATGTGGGTTACTATCGGGTGTCACTTTCTTACTTGCTGTGGTTTGTTGGTGTGTATTGACAAAAAGTCATGATATCTGATCAAAAACACCTTAGGTATGAAAAAATATATATACAGAAAATAAAAGAAATAAAAGTATTGAGTGTGCGACTTTAAGGAATGAAATCAAATTGGCGGCCAAACTGTTAGTTACACTTATAGCATTGATAAGAATTTTACAGCAAATATTCATTCATTAGTTAGCTAGGCCTCGTATTTTGTTTTACCCACCATCATGCTCCAAGTTGAACAAAAAACGCGGTCTGGCTAACTAATGAATGAATATTTGCTGTAAAATTCTCATCAATGCTACAAGTGTAACTAACAGTTTGGCCACCAATTCCGATCCTTAAAATAAGAGATAAGACTAATATTTATTTTATTTTTTTTACACCAAGAAAATATGTTACAGCTAGTATCTTAACCTCAAGGGACAACTTCGCATTCAAAAGTAACAAAATATTTAACTATTATTAAGAGTTGGCGGCACTACGAAAACATCACAAGCCACGCACGTTCTTTATATTTAAGGCCACCTTCCTTTGATTGTAAAATTATCCTACAGTATCCGAAACCAAAACTTAAATTGGCATTTTCCCACTCAAAAAAAATATATAAATAAACGTTTAGGATATGTTATAACAGTCTTAGCACGACCATGAAAGCTTTAATTTTTCAAATACTCTAAAAACGAACCCTCTTAACTCACCCGTTCTTCAAGTAAAGAACATGTTATTTTGAGCGAGATTTCAAACTACATAACACTTCGAGTATCGATTTCAATTGGAAAAAAATTAGTCGTTTTCATAAACGGTCGCCTTTCTAGAAAAGTTGATTCGTATTATCAAAATTTTTCCAATTCTGACCCAGAATTTAAAGATCCAAAAGTTGTAAAATGTGCGTGTAGCGTGAAATTAGTTTCAACGTCAGGAGGACCGATATAATAACGCTTATGTTACGTCTTTCTTTTTTTTCTTTTTTTTTTTTTGTTTGTTTGTAATGTAGCATATTTACGACTTTATTAAAACCTATATGTTTTTCTCGTCATTCCCTATCTTATTATACGTTAGAACGAAAATAACGCAAGTGATCGAAAGTGAAGTTAAAGGCACATTGGCCATCTGTTAAGCCTAACGTAAATATTTAGTATGCACAATATGCCGAGCTACACAGATGTTTAATACATTTATATCTGTACATCAATCACAAATAGCGAGTAGAAAAGTTTAGTTTCTCTGCTTCTGATGAACACTAACCGTAGTGTAATCAGGACTTCTGTACCGCTATAGTAATATTGGGCATGGGTTTCCAAACTTTCTCAGCACAAGGTCTCCCAGAAAATTCCGCAACCTGACCGATCTCCCACCCCCAGTGAATCAACAGATATAGAGTATCTTAACAGTAACGTGCAGCTTGGGTATTTATTATTAAATATATTGCGTAGCTTAGTCAGTTGCTAGTCCCCCTTCTCCCCGACACTACTCACGGATCGGAGTTTGCCCCCCCCCCCGACTTAGAATATTAAATAGCAGTATTTCAAAGCTAGCATCAAAAAGTTTCTTACAGGTGAATCATGGGAAGTCGTATGGTTTGGTGATTAGGTTTTTGCATCAAATATTTGAATTTCTCGTGGTTAAAGTAGCTACGGTTGTTTAGGATTTTATTATTATCTGCATCAAACATTAAAAGTTGTTTCACCAAGTGTCTGCTGTATACCGACAAAAAAAAGGAGTGCAGGATCCACAACCAGGGTCACTTTCTCACAAACTCCCACAACAACAACAAAAGAGTTTCAATTAACTCCTTCCCAAAATACACAGATTATCGCATACCCAATCCTTCGGTTAGCATTTTTAGAGGCCCAATCTTCCGTGTTGGACACTAAAACCGTGCATTCCTTCTGAGAACAAGCCTTCGAAACGTCCAAGCATTTCGATTTTGTAAGTAAGTACTCGATATTCCTCTAAAACGCAAGCACAACAATACTTCTTTTTGGTGCAACAAACAGAATATTTCTTACCTTAATTATTTTGTTTTGAAGTCTAAGTCCATTTAGTGTGTTGATTGCCTTTTCAGCGTCTTCCGGACGAACGTAGTTAACGAACCCATAGCCCAGACTTTGACCTACTAATCAAAAAAAGATTTAACATATATACGTGCATATCAAATCTAAGAGTACAGCTCACCTCCCACGCACACACACACACACACACACACACAATACCACTCTGCAAGATTAAGAATTAGATTTTCTTGAGAATTGAACAAACAAATCTCTCAGAATAATACGAATCCACCTGAATTGATCTCTAGAAACTTCTGTGGTAGTAGTAAACTTCTGCAATATTGCGTTCAGTTCATCTAGTAGCTTGTGTTCAGATTAAGATGTTCAGAGAAAAACAGTTCTCCATTTCTCAAAGTTTAAAATCTTCAGTTCTTTTGTCGCAACACATCGCCCAACATACTTTTTTCTTTATTTTTTTAAATACATCATTCTATATATGATAGTGCGCGACTATTGCGTTACTACGATTCTCATAGTTCTGACTTCACTTTTTCGAAATTGTGTCGTTAATACCATAAAAATGTCATTTAGCACAGATTACGGCTCGCGTTTTGTAGCATTTGTAATTTTGCGGTTCTCAAATCGTTGTGTATTAAATCTTCCAAGTTAGTGGTACGTGTAGCAAATACTAAGTTTCGGACATAAACCCAAAAGAAAAGATTCAGTGATACAAGATCAGGAAAAGTTAAAAGATCCCCAAACAACATGGCCACTTCAACACATTCTTAGAAAGTTAATATATCCTGATCAATCATTGTTACAAAAATACTTAGTGGGACACAAACTAATTTAGAAATATGTCGATGGTGTTGGCAAAATTTTTATTACCCGATACTTAGCATTTAGTTTTTAATTTCTAGAAGTCACTTTGCTGTTACTTCTTTTCAACAATTCGTATAACAAACGTCTACATTTAGTTTCTAGTAGGGGTGTAGCGACACAAGTATCATATCGTGAAACTGTGATACGACTGTATCAATACATCGTCCTATAAGATACGATTTATGCATCTTCACGAAATTTGGCAAGCTTTCAGTAAACGTTACAAGTATTTTGCACAGAAAAAAAATAAAAATTTCTAATAAGTATTTTTGCTAAAAATTAAGGTTTTAATTGTAACTAATTTGTTATTATATATTTATTTTATTATCGACGTTTGTTTAGATTACATTTATATTTTAAACATGCATAGCTTATCGTGTTAAATATGTATTGCAAAAGTCCCGCCTATTCTCCAAAATTGTAGAAGATTCTCGAGAGTAAGAATCAGCAATATATACATACATACATACATATACATACATACATACATACATACATATATATATATATATATACATATACACACACACACACACACACACACACACAC